TCAAGTAAATTAATTATAATATTAATTCTATTTTTAGTATAGAATCGAACGGTCACTATATTTCCATTCATCATCTATATCTAAATATTTTTAATTAATTAGAATCACTTCTTAGTGTGTACTTTGTTTCAAGTCTCAATCCATAAAAATATATAACAAACAATGTATGTAACTGGTGAGAGAAATAACATAATATAAATTTCATTAAGATAAAACACATAATGACAATTTACATGTTTGCTAGGACATCCATTTACCAATCGAACACTAACTCTTGCTCATATACGCTAAAAGGTGCACTAGGTCAAACATCATGATAAATCTCAGTTAAAATTTCACCCCAAGGCTCTCGAAGAGGGTCCGCTAAAATAGCTAATGCTTCCCAATCAGTAATTTCTATATAATTAGCCAACTCAGCTCTTTTTATCTTTAAAAAGTGTACATGTACAGGGACGGAAGCATCAGGGCCCATTTTAATTCCTTAAACTCCCTAAATTTCTTTTCTCTTTTCCTTCGTTCAGCCCTTCGATCCCTTAACTCATTTTGCCTCCTTGGGACATTCCTGATGACTTCAGGCTCAGAGTCTGAATCATTATAGAAATAAGTCTTGCGATGACGTATCCTTCTACGTTCCTCCCCCCCCCGACTTCGAGAACACCCACTTGGAGTAATTCGAACTTGTCCCTGTTCAGCCATATCTGAAATATGACCAAGTAAACAATAAGAATGGCTACAACCACTCAATGTGACAACATATATCACAATTACTTGTAGAAGGATATCAATTGAGGCATTAAGATAAAACATATTTTAATATTAAGAAATGGTAAGTTGTATACAGAAAAAAAAAATATAAACTGTCTCTGTTTCTGACACCAAACCTCTCTTTGAGCCCAAGTCTTTTTCTACTTGCTAGTTGTCCTACACTAGAGAGTAGTTTTCTTTCAACTTCACTCTCTGATTTTCACTATTTTCCTCTCTTGGGTTGTTACACATTTCAATCTTGAATTCATCCTTAAGCTAAAAAACTTGCCTTTTGCCTCTCTTTGTTGTCATCAGTTATTAAAATCACCTTATTGGCCTGCTCATACTTTCTCTTTTCCTGTTTCTTGGTAAACCCATTTCTCTAACTTGGGTAATTTTCTGCCTGCTTTTGCTTTAAGTGTATAATTTTTTTTGTCTCTAAAAATAGTTGGGAACTGTTATTCTGATGGGTTCTTTTAGTTACTGGATTTGTGTAAAGCATTGTATACAGACAAAAAAAAATCAACTTAATTCTTTTATATATTAGTACAATCTAGCCAAAAGACGACTAATTCTTTTTGAAACAAGCAGAAACTTTGAAAGAATCCCTTCTTGGTCAAAAGTACAATTTTGCCTCTTTATGCGTCACTTTTCAAAATTAAACAATTATACATTAGAGATCAAAGAAGCCAAATAACTTATCACAAAATAATTTACTGATTACGAGAAGTTTGGATCAAAATTGAAACTGGTCGTTGGCAACAATTAGGAGCAAACAACCTGGCTCTGATGCCATTGTAAGTTAAATCCGAGTAAAAGGGACATAGAATTTGTGTACCTGTTAACAACAGCGGAAGATTTTTGCAGAATATGTTCCGATCGATTGCCCGAATCCAATTTCGTCTCTCTTGGAAACGAAATTCTTGTTCACGAACTAAATATCTTTTTCTTTCTTTTACTGTGTTTCTATCTTTGTAGGGAGAGTATCCCAGAGAGTATATTTCTGACAGGGAGCGTGATATAGNNGGATGCAGCATAAACTCCCTGAGTGACTTGACTACCACCGTTGACTTACCTACTTATATCCTCCGTACTTTAAACCCCTTGGTACCGGTGCCGTTGTACTTACCTTAGGACGTAACCCTTTAACCGTTTCCCTTAAATTATACACTCCTTAAAATTAGGTCCGGGTCTAGTACTATAATTTAGGGTCGACCCGTGAAACCCGAAAGTAAGTACCGAAACAAGTACTTACGGGTTACTACTTTAGGAAATTACAAAGTTTTTAAAATGTAGTCAAAAGGAAGAAGAAGAAGAAATTATGATAATAACTACTTTAGTACAAAATCAATGTAGCCTCAGTAGGAGTAACAAACCGAATTGTCAAGATATCTAATGTGGCCCTATTCCCAAGAATCCCAACTTAGCAATGCATGTGAACAAAAATTCAACCGTCACTTTCCAATTTACCTGCTCTCATCACATGCAGCCAGTGCGCACATGGTAGGATCACATTCAGTAATTTTAATATAATATTTTTATCAGATACATCAACTATTTATTTTTCACTTCAATATTTCTATCTAAACACCTAATTGCTTGTCACAAAATTATGTTCAGCCCTTATATATATATAGCAAATATAATACTTCGGCCGACCAATCAATTTTATATTATGACCTAAAAACTACTTAAATTCAGTTAAACTAAATGCTGAACCACCAGGATTTTTTGTACGCACCCTTAACCTGTATTTATGCAAGACGCTGCCTGCATTTCTCGAAAAAGGCTATTAATATGACTCAAACCCGTGACCTTCTGGTCACATGGCTGTAACTTTACCAGTCACACCAAGACTCCCTCAAAGGTTAAAAAGCACCATAAAAAGTAGTATCATATTTTTGCAAGGGATTTTTTCCTTCCTATACCATATATGAAAGTTTATTACCAAAAATGTACATATTTTGTATATTACCCGCCCAGTCCACATTTTACTTACAAAATTTGTACCATTCGAAAATCAGGCATTAATGGATCAGAATATTCCTTAAAAACGCGCAAAAATTAAGGAGAGATTCTTGGTGATAATTGATTCTACATTAAATTCAATCTTTAAAAAAGGAAAGGAGATTTCATATATGCGATTTTTTCTCCAGAACTATAATTCAAATTCTGAAGAAAAAAAAACGAACAGATATTGAACTACTAACAGCTACAAAAACTACGAAAAATATTCAACTACTAACAGCTTCTAAGATTTACCAATTAAATGGACATAAAGTGGAGAGTTCAAAGGCAGATCATTGACAATAACTAAAGAAGGGAGAAAAAAAACAAAAATGAGAAGAAAAAAATAACAGCAATAGGTCTTCTTAGTTTTATGATATTATCTACAAATTTACTACATATATCTATAATTTGACTATAATTTCTTTATTTGGTGCAGGAAAAAAATATTTTAATATAAAGTGTCTCCAGATTGTAGATAAATTGTAGGCAAATTGTAGTTTACTTATAGTTTGTAGTTAATTTGTAGATAAATTGTAGATAAAATGTAGATATATTGTAGATACTATATTTTTAATATTGTAAATTTTTTTTCTTTGTGTTTGTTCTGAAAATGTAGGTGAGGGCTTCAACAGATCATATACATACTGTGTTGGATGGTGTGAAGCGGTACATTGTGTGTCTAGAAAACAAGAAATGTAGCTTTTGCCAATTCCAACTTGAAGAACTTCCACGTGTAAATTTTTTCTAGATTGTAGTTATAATGTAGGTTAAATGTAGTTAATTTGTAGTTTTTGTAAAATTTTGCAGACAGTTTGCAGATTAATTGTAAATGTCACATTTCTACAATTTGCACTTCATTTACAAAATTTCTACAAAAAAACTACAAATATTTACCTAGTTTTTTGGGTGATTATATTTTTTTCAAAGTTGAAGTGTTTGGCCAAGGTTTTAGAAGGAAAAAAAATATTTTTGAGGCGAAGCAGAAGCAATTTTGGAACAGAAAAAATAGCTTTCCGAAAAATAATTAGAAATAGTTTTTAAAAGTCCGCCCAAATACTAATTGATGGTCAAAATGCTTTTCAAATTAATTAATTAAAAAATAATTATTTTTCACCTAAAGTACTTTTAATAAAAATACTTTAAAAAAAACTGATTTCGATCGACATGAGAAAGTAATTAAAAATCAATAACAAAATAAGCTAAATGAAAGTGCAAAACAGAAAAGAAGAAGAAAATAGATCAACGAAATCTGAGTCTTTGACTTTCTTCAATCCCGTTTCATTCTCTCCTCTGTTTGTCATCTCAAAGATTCAACTCAACTTCTTCCCTAAAACAAAGAACGTGGAGGGGTATGGAGATGAGGGGTTAGGAGAGAGAAAGTGAGGATTAGTACTTAGTAGTGTCAAATAACGGAAGTGCTTAATTTAAGGAGTATAAAATATCACATTAATTATAACCTTAATTAGATATGGTATATAAATGGTAGTTTGGTATGCTAAATATAATTAAGTGAAACCTTAAACATGTAGGGTAAAAAGTTTCATAAGCGGGATAGGAATGTAAAAATTCCATTTAATATATATATATATATATATATATATATATATATATATATATATATATATATATATATATATATATATATATATATATATAAAATCAACTAGCAAATATAGTACTTCGGCCGACCAACCAATTTTATATTATGACCTAAAAACTACTTAAATTCAGTTAAACTAAATGCTGAACCACAAGGATTTATTGTACGCAGCCTTAACCTGTATTTATGCAAGACGCTGCCTGCATTTCTCGAAAAAGGCTATTAATATGACTCAAACCCGTGACCTTCTGGTCACATGGCTGTAACTTTACCAGTCACACCAAGACTCCCTCAAAGGTTAAAAAGCACCATAGAAAGTAGTATCATATTTTTGCAATTTGTTGGTCACCTTTTAAACTGGGCAAGTAAAGCCCAAGCTGGTTAGGGCCCAGACATTTTTTTGGCTCAATTTTTGCGTTAATGAGCCACTTCAAATCGCTTCCACCAGAGAACTAGTCAAAATATTTTAACTTTTTACCTCAAGAGTATTCCATTGTAATTAGTCTCTATTCAAGGAAACACGGTTTGGAATTAGTCCATCTTGATGCTAGAAATGATTGATTGATAATTACGAGATGTTGTCCCATGATCAGTAAAACACATTTTTGTACTTTCCCTTTTGAAATAATGATTTAAATCAATTAAGGAAAAGAAACTGCAATAGAATGAAAAGAGCTAAAACATGGAACCAACACATGAATTACATAAATACCCCTTCAATCCCCCCCCCCCCCCCCTCTTCCCACCCCACTCCAAACACCATCACACAATACAACCAAGTTCATCCCAAACCAAGGGCAATTGTGAAATCAAACAGAGACTAATAAAACCCCTTAGACCAAAATCACACAGAAAATTCACCATTTACATTTTGCTATTTTCATCTTTGCTTATTGGGGCAAAGGTTCATGGGTCTGGTTAATGAAGAAGAACTCATAAACAAGCCCAGCAAGCCCACCACCAATCAAAGGCCCAGCCCAGTAAACCCAGTGGTTGGCCCAGCTCCAGCTCACAACTGCTGGGCCGAAAGAAACTGCTGGGTTCATTGAGGCCCCATCAAAGGCCCCACCAGCCAGAATATTGGCTCCAACAATAAAACCAATTGCAATTGGTGCAATTGTTCCCAAACTGCCCTTCTTTGGATCCACTGCGGTAGCGTACACGGTGTAGACTAGGCCAAATGTCATTACTATTTCAAGTACCAATGCGTTTCCTACACCAACTCCATCAGACAAGCCGAATGCACCAATCTCCTGCATCATTTAAAAGTCGAATGTAATGTTATTTTGCACTCTAATCTTTTATTTGAATTTACATTAATTTCTTTATTTATTTTTTTGAAATAAAATTTACTTTTAAGAAGCTACTCTATAGTGGTGTTTGATTGGACACAAAAATTTAAAGAAAACGACTGGTAAAAACTTATCATCCCGAATATTTATACCAAATCAATAAATACATAACACATGCATATCTTCACAAATATGATTGTTCCCGATACATTAGTTACTACATAGAAAGGAAAAAAAAACAAGAGAGAAATAAATAACTTACCAAGCCACCAGTGGTGAACTTAAGAAGCAAGCAAGCAACAACAGAGCCAAGCAACTGAGCAATCCAGTACAAAATTCCACGTAAAAGTGTAATATTACCACCAACAAACGCACCAAAGGTGACAGCAGGGTTAACATGTCCACCGGAGATGTTAGCGCCGACGGAAACAGCCACGAACAACCCAAAAGCATGAGCAATAGCGGCGGCAATGAGTCCGGCAGGTGTGTTAGCACCACCACCAGTCAACTTGCTAAATGCTACACCTGAACCTGAACCTGCAAATACAAAAATTAAGGTGGAGATAAACTCGGCCAACGCCGCCTTTAAGGCGTCCGGGTGAGTGGCTTCCTCCGGCCTTCCGATTGCTATCCGGCTGATCGGCATCGTCGGAAATCAAGAATGAATGTTGATCAAGAAATGGAGGAGAGTTTAAGAAGAAGCTGAGTTTTGGTGGGTATATGGTGATCCTTAATTAAAGGCTAGTATACTGATCTCCACATCTCATGCAAGACTACTTATATAGTTGATGCCAAGAGTAGGTATGCTTCTTTAAAGGTCTCACGTTCTAGTTTTGAGTATAAAATTAAATTTGCTTTGATTAGGGAACACTTATCTCTTAACGTGGGATTTTCAAATTCGAATTTAGTCGCTCTCCAATGCGTGTACTGAACACCCTGATCATGTTAAACAAAAAAAATATGCTCTTATTTTAGGAAAGACAAAATTATTTAAGTGTGCATCAAAATACTTGATGCGCATTTGCACATAAATTTTTCACTTAATCATGATTAAGTTTTATACGTCTCACCTTATTTTATTACTCTCTCTATCTTAGTTTATGTGGCAGAGCTCGGATTTCGAGAATCAAATTTCTTAAATTTGATCGTAAATTTAGACATAGAATCTTTAATTTTTTTGGAACAAAATTTTTATATTTGAAAATTATGTAAAGTACTATAAGTCACAATAATTAATAATTCAAAATATCTAAAAGACATGAAAAAATTAAAGTGCCATAAAAAAACTTGTTTGACTCTCGGAATCCGTACTCCGTCACATAACTCTCGAAATGGGGACAGAGAAAGTATTTAAGTATGATATAAGTAATAAGTTAGATTAATATAAACATTGAGTGCGGCTAAATTTTTTTCCCGGTTGTAATCGGTTTCAGGTAGAAAATGTGCATTTAACAAGTTGCATTTTGAACTATTTGGTATTAATATCAAGATGAGATTTTTTCCTTTCCCATACCATATATGAAACTTTATTATAAAAAATGTGCACAGTTTCTAATTTACCCGCCCTGTCCACATTTTTCCTACAATTATTATACCATTCATTAAATACTAATTATTAGTAGCTGAATCTTCCTAATTAGCCGTGCTAAAATTCAGGAACAGAATCTTCTAATTGATTTAGCCACAAATCAAATCTGTTCAAAAGCACAATTCGTCGAAATCAAATATGTTCAAAAGCTCAGATCTGTTCTTCGATATTTTCGCTTAAGACACAAATCAAAAGCTCAGTTCGTCGAAATCAGAAGCTCAATTTCAAATTGTAGAAATCAGTTCTGCAAAAGCTCTGTTCGTCGACATTCTCTCTACATCTCTCTCTATTTCTCAATTGCAAATTTCAGTAATGCAAAGCAAATGAAAAGAGAGCAGCAATTCCACCATTGACAGCCATTAAAAAGCTTGAAAGCTTTGAATTCAAATTTGGGTTTTCAAAAATTATTATTTGTTTAGATTGGGTGTTGTTGAAAGTAATCGGGAATATGGTTTGGAGTTTATATCTCAATTTTGAGGGGTTTTGGTGAAGATTAGACTTGGTTTTGACTGAATTTCAGATTGAAACTCGAAGAAGAAGAAGAAGAAGACATATTGCAGAAATTGTAGACAAATTATAGATTATTTGTATTCTGATTGTAGATGCTTTATTTTCTGTTTTCACAAATAAAAAACGGCTAAAACTTCTACAAATCTTCTGAAAAAACGCAATTATGTCAAAAATCCCTATTATGCTACAATTGAATGGGAATTAGGATATAAAGATTCAATGTACCCAGTTTGTAGATATTTTGTAGATAAATTGTAGATTATTTGTATTCTAATTGTAGATGCTTTGTTTTCTGTTTTCACAAATCAAAAATGACTAAAACTTCTACAAATATACTGCAAAAATAGTAATTAATAGTTCGAAAATCCCAATTAAACTACAATCGAATGGGAATTGGGATATTAAAATACAATATACCCAGTTTGTAGATATTTTGTAGATGAATTGTAGAATATTTGTATTCTGATTGTAGATGCATTGTTTTCTGTTTTCACAAATCCAAAACGACTAAAACTTCTACAAAATCTTCTACCATTTTTTTTTCTAAGTCAAGAAAATAGTGTACGTACTTTCTTTGTTAATAACGTTTCTGTCGAGGTCGTCCGACTGTTTGATACTTATATTTTCGACACTTATATCGCATGCAATCTAATTAATAGTATTGAAGCACGAGGCGGCCAGATTAATATTTATGAAAATAGATTGAAAATTTAACATGACAATCTACAAAACTAGCTTGTTTAGTCTTCATATCTTAACCACGTTCAAATTTCTTACGTGCCTGGAAATAGTTATTGGAATTTATAAAAGATTAAAAAGACACACAGACACTCATTTTTTGCATGAGTTCAAAAATTAATCAAATTAAGCAAATGGTTTTTTGTCAGTTGTATAGCGTGTTTACTGAAACTCTCAATCATTTTATTAATTGTTGAATTTTAACAAGAAAGCGTCAGCTGATTATGCAGCAAATTAATTATACCCTTAAAATATACTATGGTATAGAATTGGTAATTTGGTATACTAAATGTAATTAAGTCAAACCTTAAACATTGAGGGTAATAAGGTTTCCTATGTGGCATAGGAATATAAAAATTCCTACTAAGATTGCTGGAATATTTACTTGGCACTCTTATTTGGTTTAATTCTCTAGTATTTTGGTCTATCACTATTGGTCCAGCAAAGCGAGATATACAGGGGACTCAAACTGTTGACACGTGGCATACTTGATAAGATGTTACCCAATTTTCTTGTTGTCTATTTTGTATTTCTACCTTGGTCTCTCTGGAATGATCTGAATTAACTTTACGAATTTTTTAGTTAACCATTTACAAATACATAATCTTGTTTTCCTAGTCGAAAAATATTACTCTATTGTTTTCCTCCAATATTTGTTCGACAAGGTGTCATATTTGATCACTAAAAATGAGGCAAAGGCCAAGGGTTCTCTTGGAAAGAGGGGAACAAGAAAACAAAGAGAAAAGAAAAATTAATGGATATATAGTACAAAAATCATTTTAATATTACGAATCATTATCAGAAATTCAGAGATTTTATTCACGGGTTTGGGTTAAAATGCTTAGTAATGTTGCTTAATCTGTACCATAAACTAATAAGTAAGAGTTTGTTGGAAGATTATTGAATTTTAATTCTAATTAGAGTTTGTTCATATCGTTTCTGCATAAAACTGACCCACCTTTTTTGGTAAGGGGAGTCATGGATAAGATGAACAGATGTGATACAGATCATATGATAAGCACTAAGACTTAAATATATATATATATATATATATATATATATATATATTTCTCATAGTGTAACATCATAGTGTAGCTAGGACACATACAAGGGCAGATTCATTTTTGTCATTTTCAATTAATTTATTGTAAGTTTTTACAAAATGCCAACAACAACAATAACGTATTCAATATAGTTCCATAAATAAGATTTAGGGAGGATATTGTGTGGGCAAACTTTACTCCTAACTCGTGAAGGTAGAGAGGTTGTTTCAAAAATATCATTTTATTTTAATTACAATATATATATATATATATATATATATATATATATATATATATAACTCAATTAATTCTATATAAATTTCGTTTATGTAATTTCTCATAATTTCATGTTTATGTCTGAATTATGTTTAACCAAATTATATACTTTCGTTTTTCTTTAAAATCTAGGGAAATTTCGCTTAAAGATAATAATCACTCTGTAGTTTAAATATTTCATTTGAAACATGAAATAAGTAAATTTCCGTTTATTTTTATCATTTATTATATTAAACTTATAAACTGGAAGATAACAAATTATTAAACAATTTGGACTTTAAGCACACTTTTTAATCTACGAACTCTAAATTTCTCAGATACTAAAGGAGGAAACCTCCCTTCTCGAAATGATAGAAAGCAAGCTCATTCTACATGATTTTCTTCTGATAGTTGGCAAGATGAGTTAATTATCTCAATAAATGCAGATTATTCATTCAGAATAAATATATCAAATAAAAAATTTATAGTCTCAAATTTATAAACAAATTCGAATACATTTCGATCATCGCTCATCTAAAGTAAACGATATTAAAGATGATTATCTTTTGATTTGAATCGTTACTTATCATTATCTATAAATGTTGATGGATCACATAATACAAAAAAGAACCACAATGGTCGACTACTAAAGCCCAAAATGATAGCTAATGAGAGTGACATTTACCTTAAAAAATGTTTAAAAGCATACTTAATACTTAAAAGATAAATAAATAATTTTGTTGTCTTTGGCCAGATTCCCTAATGAGGGTGACATTTACCTCAAAAGATGATTATGATATATGAAACTATGTGGTGGAGGCCAATTATAAGAGGAATCAAATACGATTATTCTCAGCACATACTCTACCCAAACCAATAAACTATATACTATTTTAATGAGCTAATTATGCAATTATGTTAGACTTTGGAACTGTTGACACATCCACTACAAAAAACTACATATTATATAACCTACTGAACTTGCTTATGCAATTATATTAGACTTTGGAACTAACTGATCATCTTAGGAATATTAGTTTCTATATCAAGTCAATCATTATCGTAAGGTCCCATTTGGCTTTGGCACTTGATAAGGATGAAGAGAATGGTAGAAAATAGTTTTGCATGCCAGCCCAAAATCGCTAAAAATTTAATTTGGAACCTTTGTTGCCAAAGAAGTGTAAGGTATTATTGATCTTGAATAATCTAGAAACCCTCGATAAAAATCTTTTAAATTATTATATTAACATCTTCTGGAAGCGTGAACTTAAACATAAAAAGTTATCGATCTTGAGTTGTGGAAATAGCCACTAATACTTGTACTAAGGTAGTCGACACGTCTATATCACCTTTTAGGGTGCGACCCTTTCTCGTACCTTGCATGAATGCGAAATGCTTTGTACACCGGTCTATTTTTTTAAAAGAATTTTTACAGGGTATGATCATTTGCACGATAAGAAAGACAAGGTAGGTCTAGGATTCCATACATTTTGTTTCAGCTTCTGCTAATTCTAAAACAAAATTGTCGTGCAGTCACAATCATTTTCTCTTGTTGGTGTGTTTTGACTATTTTAGGATAACCACAATATGACATGTAAAGAAAAAGATGTGTTTATGAGATCGAAGTCCC